GAATGCATTAGTTGGTACATAAAACCGGGGCTTTGAATTGGTCTATAAATTGATTTTTAGTATTCTAGTCACGTATTTTGGTGTGTTTAATATTTGATTGTGGGTTTTCATAAAATTGTGATGCGATTATGTGCGGGCGTTTAAAAAAACAAAAACAAACAACAACAGGCAACAGAAGTACTAACAGAAGCTAACGAGGAAGAAGAAAAAAAAAGAGCTAAACGCTCGCGCAAGCCGGCCACATGAAGAAGAGAGGAATGAAATAAACAAATATGAGACATAATACACTGCAAATGAACCCAATTATTTGGTTGGGGTTTTTTGGTGTGTGTATATATGTTTCTCGTTGTTCGACATTGCACAGTAGCACTGTGTGCATGTATGCAGTAAAACCAGATCGATATTAATTACAGCAAATAGTTCGTTTGTCAGAGAACCGTGTGATTCGGTAAACGGAATGAAATAGAAAAGCTAATAGAGATATTGACATGGATATGGTATTGCTTTTGAAATGTTGCCTGCCAAATGTACACACACACATATTTGTGCAATATGTTGTATGAGAAATGTCACTGTATGGCTTACATCGCGCAATTCAAAGATAGGAAACAAACACGAAGTAAGAGACATCGTACGACAAACCGGCAAAAACGAGAGAAAATGTGCGTGAGTGGGATGTGTGTATGTAGCAGTGCATTTGCAAATGTCGATGCTTGGTAAGCTAATGAATTTGAATGTCTTTATTTAGTGTGTTGTTTTGGCAGTTAGTAGCGAAAATGTTGAGAAAACGCGTGGCTTTTTCCACCAATTGATGTGGCGAATTGAAAATGCAATTCATTAGAGAAATCATGAGAGTGACTTCTCAATTGGATTGAGTTTCCAAATTGCATCACACACCGAAAGAGATAAACCGAATTATAACAGTTAACTACGAGATCGGATAATATATTGGTTAAATCAATTGATTTTTACCCTTTTTGGTATATTGTAGCGTACAATTGAATTATGAAGTAATTTTTTCGCAAGTTAAACTGCATTTTGCATGTATTTCTTTCAATTTTTCTTCATTTTAATCATGCTCTTCTATTTTTCTTTTACCTCGAACTTTCGTATCAACTCAAATTGTGAAACTACATGTACGTTGATTTTTTATTCAAACACCACATTGATTGTAATTCTATTCCCTGACCGGTGCTGCTATATCACTTAAGTAAATTCACTAAAAACCACTTGATCCAATGGTGACAGTCAACTGTGCTACACACATACACAATTACCAAAAAACCGCAGTTGATTTAGCTAACGAATGTGATACATATTAACTTTATGTTTATTTACTTCGTATGGAATGATATTGTTTTATCATCAATTACCGTTTGTATTCGGTTTTTGGCATGGAAAGTTTCACTTTCAAAAGCAGAACAATCAAAAGAGCCAATCGACGAAAAAGAAGAAGCAGTAGAAAAAAATGCGTGCATTCAGGTTTAGTTTTTAAATAGGAAAATGCGTAAACAATGCCATTGGGACATGAAAAGGAAGAATGGTAAGGTAAGTCTCTATCATTGTTATGTTACGTGTGTAACGAATTATATAGACGTTTATACGCCGATCGTTATTATTACGTGAAAGCATTAAAAGTCATAATGATGACTTTATTTTTTATATATAAAGAGTACTGTATCGATACACCAACTACCGTGTATGTGTATATTATCAAAGACGAAGGCGGATAATAAGTAATACTGAAAAGTGCCTCAAATTGGCAATAAACAGTGGGCAGCAGCACCGCAAAAACCCATTCATATATCGAATTGAACTCGAATTTTATTTCGTTGCAAACACATCTACTAAATGAAAGTCGATGCCGAATTAGCATTGGTCACAAACGCATTGTACTTTCAAAAGAACGATCGAATAAATAAAGATAATCATACAGAAAATAAAAACCAGTAGCATGACTTTGTTGAATGTTTCTGCGCTGGGCCGTACAAACTACAATGTGCAGATTTCTATAAACAATGCCATTCGATTTTTGTGGAGATGAATGAGGAAAATTGAACCTTTTAGCAAACGCGTCTCGCACATTCTGACCGATATGTCGAATAGCATTTTATTGACTTTCGATCGCCTGCGAAAATATGCTTTTTTTTATTTTGTCGCTTTTATATTCGAATGAATTAATTAAAAAGGCCTACATGATGATGAGACACGCATGGCTACAAAATCGATTCGGGATAATGCAAATAAATGACAGTGAAGATGTTTTACACATACACACACTGCCTTATGATTCTTTTTTTTTCGTTCGATTGAAAGTAGCAAATAAATAATTGAGAAGGTGACATTTGGACCCTACTGAAATAGGGAGTTTAGAACGCAGTAAAAATGTATAGAATATGCGAAAACGGAATTTGAAAATTAAATTATATACAAAGCCTCGCACATGTACACACACACAACGATCACATTGGAACCAAATGATACGAATTCGTTCTCGTCGATGTGGCGAAGGAAAAAAGAGATAAAATGTAAATTTCTCTATTTCGTTTTGTATGGACTGCACTTGCCTTGTTCATTTGCAAGAATAGAGCGAATCTCAAAATCGATGGGCCAGTGTCAATAATATCTGATCGAATAATGCCATTTGTGTGTGCATATGGTCGATTCAAGTTTTCAATTTGCATGCCAATTTTGTCGTTTTTTCCTCTCTTTCTCTCTTCTGTATAGGGAAAAAAAAATCATCTGAAGAAAAAAAACTAAAACAAATAAATTTTCATTTTCGTTTATTTCGTTTGATATTTTTGATTAAGGCATTCGAAATGAACGCGCGAGAGAGAGAGAGGCTTTGGATCGGTGTGCGCAACTTCATGCGATATGCAAAAATGTGCATATATTGACCGCAGCCGGCCGTGGGATTATTGCAGTGGAACAATATCGCCTTTTCTTTCTGCACACCACAGAGATGATGGAAACGGAGACGGAGACGAAGTCGACGAAAGAGAGTCTGATCGGTACGCGCGCAGGTACATTATTTGTGCAAATGCGAATAAGTGAATAAAATGGCCATTGAGATTCAAAGAGAGTGCGTTAAAAATATAACACACAAATGAAATATGCACATTTGATTCTTCTTTTTTTTGTTTGTTTGTTTATTTGTTTCGTTGTTGGTTGATTTTTATACGCTTGCCATCTCTTTTTCGCTTGCGTTGCTTTTTTCTCATTCAATCGTCTGTACTGATCGATGGCGATTACCTCGAAGCCCGGTTACCTTTCGTACACCACTGTTTATGTTAGTGCAAATGCAAGCGAGCTTATATTTTACCTCTTTTGCTGCATATCTTTTTCCGTTTCAGACCAAACGGGCTGTTGTAACTACTGCTGCTGCTCCGTTCTGTTATTGTTGTTGTTGTCTGTTTTGCAAAAGTTTCTTCTTAAATCGATATTATTTAAAAGAAAACATGTCCAATTAGTTGAATTTTTATTTCTCATTGAATATCGGCAAAATAAATATGCATACGATGTCGTTTGTTTCGAATGTTTTGCACTGCATTGAGGTGAGTTTGGCGTTGTATGCGCTCGTTCTTTCTTCTTTTTTGTCTATATTTGTTCGTTTCATTTTAAATATTCACTTGTGTGTCTGGTCGCGAGAGCACAGACATGAGCAACACACCAAATTCACATACACTCCAGCAGCGCCTTGCATTTGCAAAATAGTGATTAAAGCAAAATTTTGATCTACATGAAGACACACACACAGAGATACAGAATATTTTCGTTTCTACTTCATTTCTTTGGATTCTTTTCTTTTCGATGTTCTATACGGAATGAAAATTTCGCAATGAGAATCAACGAGAGAAAACATCCAAGAATGAAGATTTCTCTCTGAGTTTTTTTTTTCTTTTCGCCTAAATCGTCATTTAATATAAATTGTTTTGCTTTTTTTACATCTCTCGAGATCGTCTTTTTTTTTCTCAGTTCTCCACGACGAAAAATCATACGCAAATGGTAGGCAAAGCCAATTACGTGCAGTTCATGGCGCCATGTACAAAACACAACGTAAAAAATAATTCATTTTAAATTATGCATTCGATATGTATTACAGCCAAGTTGTGGCAAACCAACGAAATAAAAAAAAAACCTATTACTTTAATTTCAATTAAATATATTTAAGTTTTTTGGTCGTTGTTGGTTGTTATTGTCATTGTCTTGTGTCTCCAATACCATTTAGTGTTTCCTCATATACATAACTTTTGGTCGTTTCACAAGCAATGAATAAAAAACAATGAAAGGCACTATATTTTCGTCCGTACTTTTGACTCTTTATTTGCCACGCTTCCGTTGTCAAAGTTTTTATTTTCGACTTATTTCACACGTTTTCGGTGATTTTTAAATTGGAATGAAACAGTGAAGTGTGGAACATTTGACTTTTGCTTTACATGTTTGAAGTGTGCTTCTAATTTCTTGTCTACTTTTTTTTGTTGAGGAATACAGTTTTAATTTAAATTCCACTTGGAAATTAGTTAATCGAATGACATTCGCGAACAGTTTTTTTTACTGTTTTAAGAACGAATGTCGATCAATTTTGAAACAACAACATGATAAAAACGAATTATTTTCAAATTACGTTGATTATAAATCAAAGTCATTTGTATCGCATATTTCAGCTGGAGCACGTGATCATCACTTTTTTATAACTGATGGTTCTTTTTTTACCAAACATGCAATTTTCTGGATAAATTGGCTTTTTTAGAAGACTTTTTTGCACGAAAAATAATTTCTCTTTGTGAGATTTCAAACAAGACATCTTTTGCTTAAAAAAAACTAATGTTAAGACTAGAAAATAGATGGCTTAAGTCAAAGTTATTTTGAAATTAATTTATTTAAAAACATCGAGGCCTGTTAGATAGTACTAGTTTCCAATTAAGTTTAATGGGAAATTCCGAAAATAATTTTACGGTAGCTAGAGGCTTTAGATAAGCAAATGTTGTAAATCAACTTACTGAGTGTCTGTACTTTATCGTTGCTATGACCGTTCGATGACGTTGAAAGACCGTTATCTGCACTCTTGATTTGGTTTGTATTGCTGTCATCATCATCATCTTGTACTTTGAATGGTCGCAGTTGTTTTCGTCTGGACATAATAGTTGTGGCTTGTGCATTAACAGCAACTCAATTCACTTGGCATCGAAATTTTAAAAGTCATTTGCTTGGATTTGATTTTTGATATCACTGCACATTAATTATTGCGATACTGGCAACATTGTCTATTGTTTTAATCAGAAAACTTTACCGCTTGTGTCAATAAAAACGAAATGGCAAAATTTTGAAAACCAAACAAAATCCGGGACCAAATTCCAAGATGGAGTTTACACTTCGAATCTTTTGGTCATTCAAACACAATGGAACTTAAATGAAAGAAAGGATGAACTAAAAAAACACGGACCGAAAAGGAAAAAGTGAAAAATCCGTCAATGTGGATTCGATATCCTATAGCGACTGATTGAATTGATATCGGCATGAGCAAAAGGTTTTCCCTTTTTTCGATTCGCTTTTTTTTCCCACTGACGCTCTATTTTTTATCGTATTTCAATAAAAATGGCAATACACAAGAAACCCTTCGAATCGATTATACGGTTAAATCTTACGTCTCTGTCTTACGTGAACGGATTTGGTTGTGGTGTCGCTTTACGATTTCCGACCATTTGTTTGTATCACTTGATGCTGTGTGTGCACTATTCTCTCTTTCTTTATTACATCATCATCATTGATCCACGATTTTCTTTTCTTTTTGCTCTATTATGTACGATTTCGAATTGACACTTTTTGCACGCAGTCACTTTGTTGCTTCGAATCTATTTCGTTACAATCCTCGAAAATTCAAACGACATTTTACGAGAAAAAAAAAATCTTCAACAAAATTTACGAATCCTTCGATATTAGAGAGATAGAAACAAGAAGGAGAAAACACACAACAAAAAAAAGCACACACACAACATACGAAATGAATGCAACCACTAAATTTTAAATGGCTAATAACCGTATTCTATTTATTTTATTTTCAATTCCTAGGTGATTAAACACTGGTATTGTAATTTACTTTCTGATCAATGACGATAGCACCGACCGAACCACCGAATTGAAAACATAAAAAAAACTAGCTTTGAATACGCGATTAAAAACCGAATATTCTGTATTCGCTCCAAATTCACACAACAATAACACAATAAAAAATTTCTTCGATCATAAAACGACGGTGTGGCGCGGTCGATATAATAAAGCGTTCAGGTTACAATACACACACTCATCCGCCGCTCGATTTGTATGTACGTACGCATTTGCACAGAATGAGACTAAGAACCGAACGGTAAAACCGTATTAAAAAAACCATCGTCGTCGAAGTCCCCGAATCAAAAGAAAAAAAAACAACAACAAAATAGCAAAATTTCACACATAGAAATCCCGTCTTTTCAAACTAATACACACATTGACAGAAAGCATAGCACATATATACATAGTGTGTGGTGCATGCAGCAGCAGCACCTAAACCATCAACAACATCTTACGCTTACGATACACACATTTTTCGGAACGATTCGAATTGTAAAAATAAGAAAATGTATACGTTTGATGGTCGTGTTTTTTTTTGTTTGTTCTTCTTCGTTTACTCGTTGGATTTTTTTCTCGATATCATCGCTCAGTGCCCGTGCGCTTTTATTGTACACATTTTTCGCTGGATTTAAAGATTTTTGCGCGCCCAAGAGAGAGAAACGAACGCATACATAAAAGCCAAGCATCAACGACGGTTTTTCTATTTTCACACACAAACACATGCGCTCGCATAATACACGCACACAATTGCATCATGGGGCCGATGAAAATTTTCAAGAAACAGAACCACGACACAAGAAAAACGCACAAAAGCAATGAAAACTTTGACATTGCCAAAGAACACAAATGCTTATACGCGATTTCGATAAGCAAAATTCAATTGGAAGCACTGCGTTTTTTTTGGGTACATGACAAGCATGCAATGGGTGCACAAACGGCAACACGGTTACGAAAACCAATACTATGAAAGCCCGGCAACATTCAAACATGTTGTTGTGACTCCAAAGTTGGAGAAATACTAACAAACACACACATACTCACACTCTCACAGTACATACAAACACAGTGACAGAGACACGATCCGAAATCGATTCGAACGGCTTGGCGAATCTTTCTTTTTGTATTCACTGTACTTTTCTATATACTGGGTGCGAACAACCATCGCATTCGAATCTTAGAACATTTTCATTGGAACTAAAAACGTTCGCACATACAACAAACTCTCAAACCGTGCAACATGAATCACGCGCATACACCATAAAGTGGGGCTATTTCATTCCTTGTAATGTTATCGCCACCAGATTCGGTTCCTTTTTTGTTCTGCTCATTCTTGTGTATTTTGTTACTCTCTCACATCATGTCATCTTGCATGTGTTTGTTTTGCACGTTACACGGACTCGCTTCTCTCGTATGGTCTTCTTTTTTCACTCTCGTGTGTCTCTCTGTATTCCTTTCGCCCGATGTGATTTCTTTTTTTTCCCGATTCGCTTTTATTTTCATTTTTATTCTTTTGCTCATGTTCGACTGCTATGTTCTATGTTTTGATAACATTCTGACATTTTAAAGGCGGAGTTATTATTGAAGCTACTGGAATATGGTTTGCGAAATCAAGGCTAGAGCACAATGCACAACGTGAAACATACAATTAATCGAGCTTTTTTTTCCTTTTCTCGGTTTTAATAAAATAGTTTTTCGATTTGATTCGATTTTCCGTTTTCTGGTGGGAAATATGGATTCGGACTTGAGAAAGGGAAAATATAGCTACCTGAACGATATTTCGTCTCTTTTCATTTGTCTTCGTGGAAAATATTTCGCACTTTTTTACAAAAGTGCATCGAATTGGAAAATATGATATTTTATTTTTAAAATGTAAAATTCGTCCTACAAGTGTGAAGGGTAACTTGCATTATTGCATTTAAAACTCGAATTACAGAAGAAATCGTTGGTGTTATTTTCATTTTTATTCAATCGATTGCAAGCTTTGTTTCGTTTGGATATTTTTTTGGTTCGTCGGTTCGCATGGCTTGAACATGTTTTGCATGTGTGTTGTTTGCTCTGAGATGCGAATAACCGGTAATCGATTTTCATGTGTATGCGATAGGATCAAGTTTATCGACACGAACACAACGCTTGCCGAACGCGTAAATCACACTGGTGTCAGTTTCTTAACACTTTGTCCGTGGGAACAAACCTTTGAATGCAAACGCTCTATCAACCGATACTTACAATAAACGAAATGAAAGATATCGGGCCAATAAATAAATGTATATATGTGTTCGGCTGAGTATTGCGAAAGAAAGAGATATATTTCCGGAATAAGAAAAATACTTATAAAAATAGAATGGACAGACATTTCTATAAAAAATCAAATTGGAATGAAAATTGGCCGAGTTAATTTTCACCTTGTATTAATTGAGTAATTTCTAGGATAATTGCATACATAGTTCGAATACAAATTAACTTCAATTCATCATTTCAGTCAGCCCACTAAACACATTCGATATTTCGAGAAGCTAATGTGATTTTTACATGCAATTTTATGGGTTCAAGAAGCGAATTTCATGGGTAAAAAGAATCCAAAGCAGTTTTTCGTGTGATAAAAATTATCTTTATGAAGGAATTGCATATTCAATGAATTATTTTTTTTTCGTTGTTGTTCATTGTTTAATTGCAAACGAGTTTTTTTGTGGCTGATTGCATTCATATGCACGGAAAATCGAGACTATTTTTTGGTTTTTGATTTTATTTTTGTTCGTAAAATGTAATAAGGTGCTGCCAAAAAACATATAGTTTATCGCTTGCTATCGTTTGTGTGTTTTTTTCCAAGCCAAAACAAATGAATTTGATTGACAAAATTAATATTCAAAACGTGTACAATTGCAATATTCTTTTGTTTCTTTTTTTGTGCGCTCTTTGACAAGCGCCTAATTTCATTGGTATCATTTAAAAAATGGAACTGTTTTGATTCCGTCAAAAAGAAGTTGTTTTTATTTAAGTATTTATTCAAATAACGACGATAAAATCCTGATTCGTGACGTGCCCAAATTGATTTGTGTGTGTGCCACTGCGACGAATGGAACATTCAATGAAATTTTGATCACATTGTATTAGAATAGTACGGTGTCGAATATCAATATCAAAATGTGCAATATCATTTGTCAAGCCACACGGCTGCTAACCCTTATTATAAATGAATGCCGCGCGCGAAAGTAAAATTAATGAATTTTTTCGAATTCAAACGCGCAACAATTAGCCGTTAATTAAACGCGTTTTTTTTTAATTCTCTTGGCAAAGCCTTGATTTGATATTATGTTTTTTTTCAGTATATCTGAATCGTCGAATATTTACATATGGATTTAGTGCTTTATACATTTCACTTTTATTTCGATATGACACTGTATCGACCCCATTCAAAAAGCCAATGTTAATACAGTGACTTCCAGCCTTACTCGGTGTATCTCGGATCAAAGTAAGATCAAACTGTTTGCACCTTTGAAAAATGATTAATGATTCAATCGATCTGCTATTAAATGCGTGTTGACTTCCACTTTAGATACTGATCACATCGACACAGCGAGTATTTACGCTTCGAAATTAATTTGTCGCATGACTATTTCAATAAAAAATCATTAATCATTTCGACTGCAATGTGAAATTTAAAAAAGTTGTTGATTCTTTTTGACTCTAAATATTATTAATGTTCAAATTGTAAATAAATTGAATTTAAAAAAACGGTTAGTGTATAAATTGGAGCATTAACGGTATCGTATAATCGTTTTAATCGCGTTTACAATTCAGATTTAACGAAAGAAATAAGTAAAAAAAAAAGAATTGATGACTTCATTCACTTCAAATGAATTCCATGAGCGCCATCCAAACACGGAACTCACTTAATGGTTTTTTTTCTTTGCGCATTTCATAAATAATAACACGATTCGTATATGTATATATCAGCCTATATCAGTTGCTACTTGCCAATATTATGAAATTTTGGGTTTTTCTCACAGAACCGTGCTCGTTTCCAATGCTCATATTTCGATTTCGTGCGCTGAATTTGAAATGCTTTTTATCCATTGACTTCTTCATTTACGCAGCAACGCTTAACTGCGAATATAAATTTTGTGTAAAATTAATAAATTCAAATCTGCTTTACAACCAGAATGAAAACATTACGATGGTGTGTATCACGACAACGGCGACGACAATATATTCATGCCATTCGGAATAAATAATATTTATCGGTCATCCGAACGAATTCACACATTTAAAATAAACAAACAAACTGGGTTCGTCGCGCATCAAAAATATACGCTCACTGAAAATTGATTCCAATGTGAGCGTCCGATCAGCACAAATACACATTTTTTTAACACACTTTTTAGTTTTACGCATTTTAATGCTGAATTGCATTCATTGTCGTCTCTTTCTCTCGATGCATTTATGCATTTATTCAAAATACATTTTCCACTTGAAATTCGACCAGATTGCAGAAATCGACTTTAACTTTCCATTGACTACGTGAAACACTTCAATACACGGCGATAGAATTACAGATGAGCCCAATGACGAACGAAATTACGTTTTAATCGAGAAAGAATTTACTTCGACGATTTTGAAAGCCAATGTAACGGTTTATGGTCGAGGCCGCTTCTCGACCTTGTGCAGTGTACATCGGCGAGAAATACCATTACGTCATTCGCAGAATTTTTTTAAAAGAAGAAGCGACTGTTTTGATGCAATAT